AAAGACATCTGCAGATACTCATAGCATCAAAAATGTTCCCCAACAATACTCTTGTCTGACAGTCATCCCACCACCATGTACCCTTTTCTCAGAGCCCTTCTGAAAGATACGCCCACCAAACTGAGAAAAAGACTGGATCCCAGGAAACAGGTGTTCCAATTCAAGGAGAGGGTGAAGAATGCCCCCCAACTCCCTCCAGGAGAGATGTGGAGGAAGATCCCGGGAAGCCAGCAGTGCAGAAGGTCTAGTGACCAATTAGCCCAGGCTAGAGGTGGTCAGAGGCTCTAGGAGGGATTTCTTCAGTAAGAAGAGCTTTTTAGGACACTAAATGTACTTCAACATACTGAGAGAAGGTCACACAACTGGGAGAAGAGAGTTTGGCTACAGGTTAGCAATAAAATATAGAAAACCAAGCTCCCCCCCTTCAAAAAAAGTGAAATTTTAAATTCAGAAAAGTAAATTTTATAAGGAAAGGGAAAGTAATCACAGCACACAACATGACAAACCTGTGAGTAGCATTTACATAGTCATAATACCAGACAATGAATATTGATGCCACCAAAATAAAAGAATATGGGAAGGATGGAAAGATGGAAGTGTGTGGAGAGAGTGAGTGAAGGAAAGCTCTTTCATAATGGTAATTCAAAAGAAAATACCTAAAACTGAAACACTAGTAAGGAACATGTGATTTGGAGATTTGGAGATAAATACAAAATAATCAGCTAAAATAATTGAGCCTGGTGGCCTCTGGGGTGGGGTGATACAGAGGACAGCGTGAGACTTACTGTTTCAAAGTAAGGTTTATAGGACTATTTGCTCATTTAAAATGTGTAGGTGTAATTTTACTAAAAAATAATTTATAGTAATGGAAGTCTTTTATTACTGTCACATACATGTTAAAATCAGCCAACATGGGACTTCCCTGGTGGTGCAGTGGTTAGGAATCCGCCTGCCAATGTAGTAGACACGGGTTCAAGACCTGGTCCGGGAAGATCCCACATGCCATGGAGCAACTAAGCCCGTGTGCCACAACTAGTGAGCCTGCGCTCTAGAGCCCGCGAGCCACAACTACCTAGGCTGCAACTACTGAAACCTGTGCACCTAGAGTCTGTGCTCTGCAACGAGAAGCCACTGCAATGAGAAGCCCACGCACCACAAGGAAGAGTAGCCCCCACTCACCGCAACTAGAGAAAGCCCACTCGCGGCAATGAAGACCAACGCAGCCAAAAATAAATAAATAAATAAAATTAAAAAAAAAAAATCAGCCAACATGTCAACATGTACAGGACAAATGTGCACTTACATTAAAAGCAAAACTGAAAATGGACAAAAAAAGACCCTGATACTGATTTAGGCCCTTGTGACATTCTGAACTAGACTTGAAGAAATCATTCACCTTCTGGATGCTTCTGTTTCCAGAACTATAAAGGAGTATTCTAAACAGATGATATCTAAGTTCCTTTGAAATCTGAGTCTATTTAAATGCAATTCATTGAATAGAGTAAATACATTTTTATGGACAAGGTTCTAAAGGGTATTCCATTTTAAATGGGTCTCATTTTCAACTGATACTGATTAATGGGCTTTTAACTTTTCTTGTATATCAGAAATATGTTATAATTTTAAATGATAGCAAAAAAAAAAAACCCTGAAGAATATTACACATGAAATGAAGGTTCTAAACTGTTGCTTAATCCTAAAAAGCAACAGTAATAGCCTCAGCTAAATGCCAAGTGGCCACTACTGGCAATACCAGAACTTCAAAAAATTGCTCTAAAGTGGGTCAAAAGCAGATTGTTGTGGCAGATCTTAAAGCTGCAACTGTTCATGCATAAAACGAGGAAGATTTATGAGAGAAGGTATATTCTCAAACTCAGTAAGTAACTGAGGAAGAGAAACCCATAGGAAAGCTGAATAAAAGAAAAAGCTTTGGCAGTGATGCAATGAAACAGTACATGTAAACCTGCATGCACTCTACCTGACAGCTGAGTGGCGAGCCAGGCCCACACTCACCCCGCCTCCAGGTGGCATATTATATTGTCACTTGGCAGTAAACAAACGCAGAGCTCTTTTTTTCAAATTATGAATTCACTATTATCCTCCCCATCTTTGAAATTAAGGATGATGTATTTTTAAGTGCAAATTTTGATTTCTCACGCTAAGGGATGAACCCTCTTGACTGTGAATTCCTAGATTTTAGGCAGGGGGCTACCCCAGGGCGCTCTTGGTACAGCTCAGCAATCTTTGTGTGAGTCCCTGACACTTCCCTTTCCTGCTTCCCAGTGTGACCATCTATCTCCATTACTTTCTCCCAGAAGTTCATCTCACCCCCACTGTTTGCCTGGCAACACCCTGTAGCCCCTTCAGGACCTCCACTTCTACAAGACCCTTTCTCCATGACTCACCAGAGTGTATGCTCGTCCTCTTTTGTGCCACCACTGTTCCTACAGTTACATCCACAGGGCGGTTCTCAACCTTGAGGGTCATCAGAATCACCTGGAGGGAATGCTGGGCCCCGCCCCAGTTTCTGACTCAGTAGGTTTGGGTGGGCCTGAGAACTTGCACTTCTAACGAGTCCCCAGGCGAGGCTAATGCTGCTGGTCCAGGGACCCCCTTCTGAGAATCACTCTATTGCTTGATTTCATGCCTGCATCTTCCGCTAGACTGTGAGCTTCTTGAGGTCACGACGCATTTCTTACACATCTCATCTACAGGGTCTAGCCAGAGTCTAGCAGTCATTCAGTCAATCAACAAATATTTATTGAATGCCTGTTATGTGCCAGACACTGTTGTAGGCACTGGATTCAGCAGTTTAAATACACACGTGCACACACACACACATACACACACATCCCTGCACTCAAAGAGCTTTTCTTCTGGTACTACATGGTAAACTCTCAATAAATGTTGAAATCCGGCCAGTTGTACAGAAGGAAATATGGCATTATCATGACCATTTTAATAGTGCTACAGAAATAGTGCCAGTTTTCCATTTCCTAATCATAGCTCTTCCCATTTCTATGTTTCTCCCTTCTGATATTCCCCACTATGTCCAACACATAAATCCACAAAACTGGCAAAACATTTGCTCATTGATTTACAAAATAGTTGATGTAGCTGACATATCAGTTGAAAACAACACATCATATAAGATGAACTTAAGCATAATGTAAGCAAATCTCAATATTTAATATTGATAAATGTTAAAGAATAGCTTAACCACTGGTTTTCAAATTAGCCTTAGTTACCTCTAAAGGCATCTTTTCTCCCATCCCTCTCTATTCCATGTCCTACATCTGTGGTGAAATGTTTACAGCAGTTCTCAACTGCCAGGTATGATGACTAAACTCCCGGAGGACCTAAGCACGCTGCTGTCCAAGCAGGGACATCGGTCAACATGTGGATTGTCCTGTGTAAAATTCTGAGAAACTGATAGGAGGCCTCGTGATGATATGTGATGCCCTGGAAAGGGGGCAACAGCAGAGGCGAACCTGATTCCCCACATAAAACCAGGGCAGTCATTCCTCAGCATGTCACACCCCAGGCCTGCAGGCCACAGGCCATGCAAATCCCTCTCTAATTCTAGGAAAGTAGAAAACATGTACCTTCATCTTTGGGCTAATTTTCTGAAAGTTTCTCAGCAAATAAAAATGAGAGGACTCACGAAGAGCAATTTGGAAAATAACTGAACTGACCATAACGTTTACTTTCAAGACTTTCAGTGTTCTTAAGGTTTGCAAATGTTTTTATAAGGCTTTCCATTCAAAGCCATGAGACATTCTGTGCTAATTATATGGAGGGAATAATGGGCAGCATTTATGAATGGAACTTGAAAAAGGCTAGTTTCAGTATTCCAGACTAAAATATTTCTTCTCTGTTAACATCATAACCAAATTTGAAGTTTGTTGTTAGTGGCTTAAAGAGTCAGTGATATCAAATAGTAATACTGTCTCAGAATTATATTCTCTTCCTTTTGCTACCCAAAATCAGTGATATATAAAAACACCCTAGTCCAACAAATTATCGTGATCTCTACATATCGAAAGACTGAAGAAAAATTAATAACCTTGTTAGGAATGTACTTTTATAATGGAGACCAGGTCCACCAACTTCATTTTTACGACTCAATCCTAATTAAGTAAATTCTGATTATTAGAAAGCTTTGAGTATAAATGAGAACTTTTGGTGAGCCACACACTGACTTAAAAATGGCCAGGTTGCCGTTTATTTTCCTGGAGTAGTTTACTAATTATCACCTTCATAATCCAAAAGAATTAATATTTCTGTAGCACATTTCCCTAGTAGCACAGTGGTTAAGAATCCGCCTGCCAACGCAGGGGACATGGGTTCAAGCCCTGGTCCGGGAAGATCCCACATGCTGCGGAGCAACTAAGCCCATGTGCCACAACTACTGAGCCTTTGCTCTAGAGCCTGCGAGCCACAAGTACCGAAGCCCACGTGCCTAGAGCCCCTGCTCCGCAACAAGAGAAGCCGCAATGAGAAGCCTGTGCACCGCAACAAAAAGTAGCCCCCGCTCGCTGCAACTAGAGACATCCCGCGTGCAGCAACGAAGACCGAAGAATGCAGCCAAAAATAATAAATAAATAAAATAAATTTATTAAAAAAAATCAATTTCTGAAAAGGTATGTAATTCTCTGCTGAGATGTGTGCTCCAATAAACCAGCCCCTTTCAAATTAGTTAATGTAAAGCTAAGACAAGGAGAAATCAATCTGTATGGCCGATTGAACTGGTCTCATTAAATTACTGATACCTCATTCAGTGTAATAAAAAAACACACCACTATACTCTGGAAAACATACAAGTCTAAAATAAAAATATTCTCATTAATATCATTCATATGCTAGTAATAAATTAGCTTTCTTTAAAAATTTTTTTCAATTATATCCAAAATCCATTCTTATTTTCTAATTAAGAAGGCTGGATTTTAAAAGTGCAATAAAAATTCTTGAGGCCTTCACCCCAGTTTACACAAGACTTCTTAGTGGTTTGCAAGACGCAGCTTCTTGTTTTGGTGCTGTTCTTCATCCCGGGGTATGGGTCCCAACACACCATCTAGCGTTCAAGAACAACGTAACGTCAGAAAACTGTCACTTCAAATAAATGACTATTTGTTAAAGTCACAGAGGTTGTAAGATCAAAATAATGCTTAAGTTAAAAAGGAATACTGATCTTATCTTAAAATAATTCTCAATTGTTGAAGAACAGATTCTAAATAACTCACTCAGGTAACACAATATCTGACCTTTTAAAAACTGGATTCATTCAACAGTGTATAGCCAACAATTCACAAAACTGTTTTGGGGGGAGAGTTATTCTTATTAGGCTGGAGGAAACAAAATGCACCTACTTGTTTCTCTCTTTCTGACATACTTCACTCTGGATGACAGTCTCTAGATGCATCCACTTCTCTACAAATGACCCAATTTCGTTCCTTTTTATGGCTGAGTAATATTCCATTGTACATATGTACCACATATTCTTTAGCCATTCATCTGTCGATGGGCATTTAGGTTGCTTCTATGACCTGGCTATTGTAAACAGTGCTGCAATGAACACTGGGGTGCATGTGTCTTTTTGAATTATGGTTTTCTCTGGGTATACGCCCAGTAGTGGGATTGCTGGGTCATATGGTAATTCTATTTTTAGTTTTTTAAGGAACCTCCATACTGTTCTCCATAGTGGCTGTATCAATTTACATTCCCACCAAGAGTGCAAGAGGGTTCCCATTTCTCCACACCCTCTCCAGCATTTCTTGGTTTGTAGGTTTTCTGATGATGCCCATTCTAACCAGTGTGAGGTGATACCTCATTGTAGTTTTGATTTGCATTTCTCTAATAATTAGTGATGTTGTGCATCTTTTCATGTGCTTCTTGGCCATCTGTATGCCTTCTTTGGAGAGACGTCCATTTAGGTCTTCTGCCCATATTAGGATTGGGTTGTTTGTTTTTTTAATATTGAGCTGCATGAGCTGTTTATATACTTTGGAGATTAATCCTTGGTCTGATGATTCGTTTGCAAACATTTTCTCCCATTCTGAGGGTTGTCTTTTCGTCTTGTTTATGGTTTCCTTTGCTGTGCAAAAGCTTTGAAGTTTCATTAGGTCCCATTTGTTTATTTTTGTTTTTATTTCCATTACTCTAGCAGGTGAATCAAAAAATATCTTGCTGTGATTTATGTCAAAGAGTGTTCTTCCTATGTCTTCCTCTAAGGGTTTTATAGTGTCCATTCTTACATTTAGGTCTAGAATCCATTTTGAGTTTATTTTTGTGTATGGTGTTAGGGAGTGTTCTAATTTCATTCTTTTACATGTAGCTGTCCAGTTTCCCCAGCACCACTTATTGAAGAGACTGTCTTTTCTCCATTGTATATCCTTGCCTCCTTAGTCATAGATTAGTTGACCATAGGTGTGTGGGTTTATCTCTGGGCTTTCTATCCTGTTCCATTGATCTTCATTTCTGTTTTTGTGCCAGTACCAATATTGTCTTGATTATTGTAGCTTTGTAGTATAGTCTGAAGTCAGGGAGTCTGATTCCTTCAGCTCCGTTTTTTTCCCTCAAGACTGCTTTGGCAATTCGGGGTCTTTTGTGTCTCCATACAAATTTTAAGATTTTTTTTTCTAGTTCTGTAAAAAGTGCCATTGGTAATTTGATAGGGATTGCATTGAATCTGTAGATTGCTTTGGGTAGTATAGTCATTTTCACAATATTGATTCTTCCAATCCAAGAACATGGTATATCTCTCCATCTGTTGGTATCATCTTTAATTTCTTTCAATACTGTCTTATAGTTTTGTGCATACAGGTCTTTTGTCTCCCTAGGTAGGTTTATTCCTAGGTATTTTATTCTTTTTGTTGCAGTGGTAAATGGGAGTGCTTCCTTAATTTCTCTTTCAGATTTTTCATCATTACTTAATAGGAATGCAAGAGATTTCTGTGCATTACTTTTGTATCCTGCAACTTTACCAAATTCATTGATTAGCTCTAGTAGTTTTCTGGTGGCATCTTTAGGATTCTCTATGTATAGTATCATGTCATCTGCAAACAGTGACAGTTTTACTTCTTCTTTTCCAATTTGTATTCCTTTTCTTTTTCTTCTCTGATTGCTGTGGCTAGGACTTCCAAAACTATGTTGAATAACAGTGGTGAGAGTGGACATCCTGTCTTGTTCCTGATCTTAGAGGAAATGCTTTCAGTTTTTCATCATTGAGAATAATGTTTGCTGTGGGTTTGTAGTATATGGCCTTTATTATGTTGAGGTAGGTTCCCTCTATGCCCACTTTCTGGAGAGTTTTTATCATAAACGGCTGTTGAATTCTGTCAAAAGCTTTTTCTGCATCTATTGAGATGATCATATACTTTTTATTCTTCAGTTTATTAATATGGTGTAGCACACTGATTGATTTGCGTATATTGAAGAATCCTTGCATCCCTGGGATAAATCCCACTTGATCATGGTGTATGATCCTTTTAATGTGTTGTTGGATTCTGTTTGCTAGTATTTTGTTGAGGATTTTTGCATCTATATTCATCAGTGATATTGGTCTGTAATTTTCTTTTTTTTATACCTTTTTAAGAATTTGTCCATTTCTTCCAGGTTGTCCTTTTTATTGGCATAGAGTTGCTTGTAGTAGTCTCTTAGGATGCTTTGTATTTCCGCAGTGTCCCTAACTTCTCCTTTTTCATTTCTAATTTTATTGATTTGAGTCCTCTCCCTCTTTTTCTTGATGAGTCTGGCTAATGGTTTATCAATTTTGTTTATCTTCTCAAAGAACCAGCTTTTAGTTTTATTGATCTTTGCTATTGTTTTCTTTGTTTCTATTTCATTTATTTCTGCTCTGATCTTTATGATTTCTTTCCTTTTGCTAACTTTGGGTTTTGTTTGTTCTTCTTTCTCTAGTTCCCTTAGGTGTAAGGTTAGGTTGTTTCTTTGAGATTTTTCTTGTTTCTTGAGGTATGCTTGTATAGCTATAAACTTCCCTCTTAAAACGGCTTTTGCTGCATCCCATAGGTTTTGGATTGTCGTGTTTTCATTATCATTTGTCTCTAGGTATTTTCGATTTCTTTCCTCTTTGATTTCTTCAGTGATCTCTTGGTTATTTAGTAATGTACTGTTTAGCCTCCACGTGTTTGTGTTTTTTACATTTTTTTCCCTGTAATTGATTTCTAATCTCATAGCGTTGTCATCAGAAAAGATGCTTGATATGATTTCAATTTTCTTAAATTTACTGAGGCTTAATTTGTGACACAAGATGTGATCTATCCTGGAGAATGTTCCGTGCGCACTTGAGAAGAAAGTGTAGTCTTCTGTTTTTGGATGGAATGTCCTATAAATATCAATTAAATCTATCTGGTCTATTGTGTCATTTACAGCTTGTGTTTCCTTATTAATTTTGTTTGATTTCTCGATTGGTGTTAAGTGAGGTGTTAAAAGTCCCCCACTACTGTTGTGTTACAGTCGATTTCCTCTTTCATAGCTATTAGCAGTTGCCTTATGTATTGAGGTGCTCCTATGTTGGGTGCATATATATTTATAATTGTTATATCTTCTTCTTGGATTGATCCCTTGATCATTATGTAGTGTCCTTCCTTGTCTCTTGTAACATTCTTTATTTTAAAGTCTATTTTATCTGATATGAGTATTGCTACTCCAGCTTTCTTTTGATTTCCATTTGCATGGAATATCTTTTTCCATCCCCTCACTTTCAGTGTGAATATGTCCCTAGGTCTGAAGTGGGTCTCTTGTAGACAGCATATATATGGGTCTTGTTTTTGTATCCATTCAGCAAGCCTGTGTCTTTTGGTTGGAGCATTTAATCCATTCACGTTTAAGGTAATTATCGATATGTATGTTCCTATTACCATTTTCTTCATTGTTTTGGGTTTGGTTTTGTAGGTCCTTTTCTTCTCTTGTGTTTCCCACTTAGAGAAGTTCCTTTAGCATTTGCTGTAGAGCTGGTTTGGTGGTGCTGAATTCTCTTAGCTTTTGCTTGTCTGTAAAGCTTTTGATTTCTCCATCGAATCTGAATGAGATCCTTGCTGGGTAGAATAATCTTGGTTGTAGGTTCTTCCCTTTCATCACTTTATCATGCCACTCCCTTCTGGCTTGTACAGTTTCTGCTGAGAAATCAGCTGTTAACCTTATGGGAGTTCCCTTGTATGTTATTTGTCATTTTTCCCTTGCTGCTTTCAGTAATTTTTCTTTATGTTTAATTTTTGCCAGTTTGATTACTATGTGTCTCAGCATGTTTCCCCTTGGGTTTATCCTGTAAGGGACCCTCTGTGCTTCCTGGACTTGGGTGGCTATTTCCTTTCCCATATTAGGGAAGTTTTCAACTATAATCTCTTCAAATATTTTCTCTGGTCCTTTCTCTCTCTCTTCTCCTTCTGGGAGCCCTATAATGCGAATGTTGTTGCATTTAATGTTGGCCCAGAGGTCTCTTAGGCTGTCTTCATTTCTTTTCATTCTTTTTTCTTTATTCTGTTCCGCAGCAGTGAATTCCAGCACTCTGTCTTCCAGGTCACTTATCTGTTCTTCTGCCTCAGTTATTCTGCTATTGATTCCTTCCAGTGTATTTTTCATTTCAGTTATTGTATTGTTCATCTCTGTTTTTTTGTTCTTTAATTCTTCTAGATCTTTGTTAAACATTTCTTGCACCTTCTCGATCTTTGCCTCCATTCTTTTTCCCAGGTCCTGGATCATTTTCACTGTCATTCTGAATTCTTTTTCTGGAAGATTGCCTATCTCCACTTCATTTAGTTGTTTTTCTCAGGTTTTATCTTGTTCCTTCATCTGGTACATAGCCCTCTGCCTTTTCATATTGTTTGTCTTTCTGTGAATGTGGTTTTTGTTCCACAGGATTGTTCTTCTTGCTTCTGCCCATAAAGACTTACATTTCCTGATCTTTCAGAGTAGTCAAATCATTGTTATTATCAAGAAAATTTTACTTAATATGCTAAACTTCTACTTACCTTGAACCGAATTCAAACATAAAGATAACACGGCTAACATTTTAACATAATATTGTACAGTTAATAATAATATTCCAAATTATGTGCCTGAGGAATTGCAAGATCTCCCAAAGACTGTATTACATGAATAATATCTGTGTTAATATGCAAATAATAAAGCTCTGAAGATTACTAATTCATTTATGGTAACTGTGATGACTCTTAATTAGATTATTCAAATAACCAGAATATTTCCACTCTCTGACCAATCTGAGCTAATGTGGCTTTACTCTAATAAGAATGTACATATCCTCATAATTTGGCCCTAGATCCATCTGTATTAATTATATGTATTTTTCCTTCCTAACTGCCCAAGAGGCTTTTGTTTTGCTATAGAAGAACACTGTCGTCTACTTTCTCATGTAAATTTAATTTATAAATTCAACTTGTACATGATTATTTGTATTAAACTGCAGAGCCCATAGGACTAGTCATTAATCAGCAGTTTCCATGACATGTAGCAAATAGTAGATACACAAACGTCTGTGAACCAATTAAATGGCAAAAATGTAACCTGCAAAAAGAATATGCTCCATCTCCAACCACAGCAATTTCCAACACCTGATCATTATAATTCACTGTGTTTCTTTTCTTCTTAGCAGCAAAGTCAACCTCAGTAAAGGACTTGTAAATACTTACTCTCTCTGCTTTCAGGCTCATTTTGCTCAAGAACACAAGTTCTTGATGGATTCAGTTGCCACTGTAAAAGGACACAAACATTTTATTTATATGTTTAATAAATAGCGTTTCAGGGCTTCCCTGGTGGTGCAGTGGTTGAGAGTCCGCCTGCCGATGCAGGGGACATGGGTTCATGCCCCGGTCTGGGAAGATGCCACATGCCATAGAGCGGCTGGGCCCGTGAGCCATGGCCACTGAGTCTGTGCGTCCGGAGCCTGTGCTCCGCAACGGGAGAGGCCACAACAGTGAGAGGCCCATGTACCGCAAAAAAAAATTATAATCAATCAATAAATAAGAATAGCATTTCAGCACTGTGCTTTCAAATATCGAAACAGCTTAAAACAATGTAAGAAAAAAGAGTTAGTGTGTCGTATCAACCAAGCCCTAATAATGACTCTGAATGACTCTGAATGACATGACTTCTGGAATGAGAATCAATATTCTTAGAGAAGGAAGTATAAAAATCCTCCTTTACCTTCGTTTTACAGGTAAGGAAGTGGAAGACCAGAGAAGCGTAGTGACTTGCCCAAGGTTACATACTGACTAAAGACAGTAGTAGCACCAGAACCTGGGTCTGCCCATGACAAATACTATAGAATTTCCACCACTTCATATTCTAGCTCCAGGTCCTACAGAATCTTATAATAGCTAGAGAAGGCCTAGATAGAAAGAATGAAAATAGAACAAAGACTATCTTGACTTTTAATATAGTAATATATACTATTATTTTTATCATAGCATACCATTTATTGTATCATATCATACCATATCACATCTCCTCTGATTATAGTTTTCCATCTCAATCATTCAGAAAGAAATAGAGAAGCATGAAGATTCTCAGATATTCTCAGATATTATAGTGAAGACTGGAGCAGCAGATAAGAAAAATTGAGTGTAATCAATATCTCAAAGCACACCCTTCCTTTCTTATTTGCCTAGAAATCCCCATCATCAGAAACACTAATGACTTAACCAAAAAAGCCCCACTAGGGCACTCTCTCCAGAAAGACACAATTAAGTGGATAGTTCCTGGGAGCCTCTTCCAGAAGCATCAATTAGTTCATCAGATGAACTCATTAATATCATGGGCCTTGAGGAAGAATGAGATATAAGACAGACATTTTACCACGTATAAAAAAGTCCTTGGAAAGGGAAGACATCTAGAACTGGTTGGTCGCCTATAGAAATGGGATGGTTAGGATTAGCACCAGGAAAAAGGAGGATTTCCAAGCAATGGGAAGATATACGTGAAATTAAAAAAAAAAAAAAAAAAAAAAGGCATGTTCAAAACATGTCAAACCATTAAAATCTATTACTTTGGGCAACGTAAAAACTAATAACCTTGAATTTACATTTAAGGATCATCATAAAAAAACTACATCTAACTGTGAAAACTCAGAAGCAATCTAGATGTCCAACAAAAAAAGGAATGGTTAAATAAGTTATGTCCATAGGCTGCAATACTGTGAAATCATTAAAAATTATTTCTGAAGAATTTTCAATGACACAGAAAATACAGCAACATGTTAACAGTGGTATCTATGAGCTGTGGGATAATATCTGTTCTTTTCTTATTTTCTTCTATATATCTGTTCTTTTTTCTATTTCCTCTATAATGAGCATACATTACTTTCACAATTAAAAAAAAAAGTAATATAACCTAATAAAGAAAAATTTACATGTATTAAACAGAAAAAAAAAGTTTCTCAGTAAATGGACTTGGGTTTACACAGGTAAAATATATTCTTGGAAATACTGTTGCCCAGCCCTAGCCTAGTCTGCAACAACCCCACAGAACAGAACCTCTTATCTCAAGGCGGTAACACCTCAAAAAGAAAAGAAAAAAATTTTCAAACAAAATTAATTTCAATTGGTTTAATGTTTAAAAAAATGAAATTTACTGATATTTATACTACTTTTGACAGTCTAAAAGCAATATAATCATTATAAAAATTCCAATGTGGAACAAATACTAGTTCATGTTAGTTACTGGTATTTACAAAACTAGGCATTTAGCTATAACCAGGTAGTTTAAATCATTGACATAATATTGCAAGCCAGGCCAGATGAGGGAAAGGATGAGAGGGTGGAGAGCTAATCTTCACTGGAAGGAGTACAGAGAGACCAGGTGTACCTGAATGAGGGCACTCCTGGGTGGGTGTTGGCCCAACAGGTATTTCTGAATCCCATCTCTGCCCAAGGGGCCTTCACTCCCTCTGTCTTCCTGTCTCTTCCTGCTTCTCTTGCCCTGTCTTACATTCTTCTGATCTCTTCATTCTCTTTACGGTGGAAAAGCTACTAAAATCCACCAGTAAGCAAGATATTTCAGAATTCGCTTAACCCAGCACTCACAGTCCTGAAGAGCTAGGTCACTTACACTTTATAAAGATAATTATTTCTTCCCAATCTTCAGGAGGAATGAAGGAACAGAAGACAAAAATACAGAACTGGTGATTTCCCTTTTGATTAGATGGATATAAACTTTAGTTTTACAAAAGAGGCATCTGTCCCATCTCTCCCTTCTTTCAGTGCCCCCCCTTTTCTTTTTAAAATCATGTCTTTTAAATAAGACAACTGCAAATAAAAAACAAAAATATATGACAAAAATAAAAAGGATAAAAATTTATCATTCTTCATACACACATAAACTAGGAAACTAAATAGTGTGTTGCTATATTAATTTTTAAATAAGTTTTAAAATATATATATGGTTTAGTAAGTAATTTTTAGGTGCCTCATATGTTCCAGGCACCCTGGATTCAAACAGAAAAGTTGAAATTTATAAACAGTTCTATTATATGCCTTTTGTACCCACTGCAAACTACAGTATATAAATGTTATATTAAATGCCAGAATTATGGGACTTCCCTGGTGGCGCAGTGGATAAGACTCCGTGCTCCCAATGCAGGGGGCCCAGGTTCGATCCCTGGTCAGGGAACTAGATCCTGCATGCATGCCACAACTAAGAGTTCACATGCCACAACTAAGGAGCTGGCAAGCCACAACTAAGGAGCCCAACTGCCATAACTAAGGAGCCCATGTGCTGCAACTAAGGAGCCAGCGAGCTGCAACCAAGACCCAGTGCAACCAAATAAATAAATAAATATATATATATATTTTTTTTTTAAAAAAGCCAGAATTATCAAAGCAACATATGATTCTAGATAGGATCCTTTTGCTGTATAGAACTTTATTGGGACAACTGGTAAACCCTGATTGGACTCTGTAGATTAAATGGTAGCAACATATCAATGATAATTTCCTGAGTTTTGTGGTGGTTATGTAGGATAATATACTGTTTGAGGAAATATACAAGAAAGTATCTGAGAGTGATCTGGCATCATAGCAACAACTTAACTCTCAAATGTTCTGGAAAACAAATTATTTGTAGTACTTCTACAACTTCTGTATGCTTGAGATTATTTCTAAAAATAAAAAGTTTTTTTACGCGGGCCTCTCACTGTTGTGGCCTCTCCCGTTGCGGAGCACAGGCTCCAGACGCGCAGGCTCAGGGGCCATGGCTCACGGAACCAGCCGCTCCGCGGCATGTGGGATCTTCCCGGACCAGGGCACAAACCCCTGTCCCCTGCATCGGCAGGCGGACTCCCAACCACTGCGCCACCAGGGAAGCCCAAGAAAAAGTTTTTTATAAACCATTCTTTGTAGGATTTTTGTAACTTTTCTATATGCTTGAGATTATTTCTAAAAACAAAAAGTTTTTTAGAAACGAAAGTAGTAAAAAAGCACAAAGAATTAAAGTTCTGAGTTTTCCACAAACCACCTCAGCACTTTTTTGGATATGTTAAATATTAAATTCTTCTAATTTTTTCCTGATTTTTCTCATGAGAAATGCATGTGTGTGTGTGTGTGTGTGTGTGTGTGTGTGTGTGTGTGTCTCCTTCTTTTGGGTAATCTTAAACTACTTTCACCTGTCTACCACTTCAATCCAGAAACAAGTGAGGGAAGAGGTGGTTCAAGGATTTTCTTTTGTTAGCCACCAGATGGCACCAAAGGACTAACTAATTCAAGATCTGTAAGGTCAATGCACAACTCTTGATAGAGATCTATATTCATAAGGCAGATCCTAAGCTGAACATTTATAGTTAAGCAAGTGCTTGCACATAAAAATAAACACAATGATAACTCTCTAAAAGGGTAAGAATCATTAATTTAAAATATGCAGCAGAGTACCTAACAATATAATAAAAAGTATATTTGAAAAAATGTGTATCTACTTACTGTAAATTTGCTAACACCTTCAAGTTCCCCAAATCTCATGTAAGAGATGTCTGCCTTCTTTTTTCCAACATCTACATCCCCTGCATAGATTTGTTTTATGCCCGCACCTTTAATTAAAGGTACACATTCATCACACGGGCACTTTGTCACAAAAATCATACTTCTTTCTTCTGGTTTTATCTCTTGACACCTACAAAATATATATATAAAATATTAGGAAGATAGTTTCTAAAAGGGTAAGTTATGTTTTAGAAAAATCTATAAACATTAAAATTGAGCTGCTTTAGGAACAGATTTACAACATTATACACAATAATGATCAAGCCTTATTCTTGCTGAATTAGTCAATGGCAAGATTTTCAGTATTACATTACAAAGGAAATGAAAACAGAGAGAGAGAGAGAGAGAGAGAGAGAGAGAGAAAACAATGCTTTCTAAGTAAGAAACTCTTTATAATGCCAGAATTAGGGGCTAGAACTAACACCCTCCCTAAGAATGTACCATGTGTGATTAGACATTAAGTCATCATGGTAGCCAAAAGGTCTACCTCTTATCTGGTAACTAACAGATATTTAATAATGCTTACTAAATTGATAAATTAATATTAGAGTTCTGTTTTGAGTTACAGTTCCCTTACTCCCTTCCCTAACAGAGGATAATTTTATTTAACAAGCATTTGGATTTGACAAAATGAAGCAAGTAATCTGTAATGAAGAGCATAAGGAAAAAAAACAGAGGAGTTTGGTGAAATTTTACATGCCAGGGGTAGTTTAGGACTAAGGAATGCTTCATCTGAGGATACAGGAGTTGTACTTCTGGGTTCTATGGCTTACACTGCTCTCAGTCTTACATTCCCCACTACCAGCCTTCTGCATCCATGTCCTTAGTTCAGATTCTCATTCTGGTCCCCTGTACTAGGACAGGAGAATTGTATGCATCTAGTCTGTTCAAACAATATGCCTGCAACCTAAGTAATCATTAGTGTGGTTCTGTCAATGTCATTCAATTTCTCCACTACCTACCAAATGAAGTCTAAACTCAAAGTCCTCTCTTGTCAGTCCCAACCGATCCCATGTGCTCCATGGTGCAGCCTAAGTGGAACATCTGTGTTCCTAAACACACAAGCATTTTCCTACTTCTAGCCCACTGCTATGCCTGAAGCAAGAATGGTTTCCCTTCAAGTAAGCATCTCCAATGGCCATAATCCTACCAAACCTTTAAAGCACAGCTCAAATGCCAGTTTCTCCATAAAGCTTTTCCCTCTCACTCCCCCTCCATCCATAGCAGCCCCTGAATTTCCACCCACTTAGTGTTGGCCTTTCCCACACAACTGACCATGTCAGGTTGAATACAGTCTTATATCCCATACTGCGTTATAAGCTCCTCAAGGACAGAAACCATGACTTAACGCAGATTTAAATCCCCTAAGATCACCCACTTAATGGTAAATGCTGAGAAATGTTTGTGGAAATGATCTAAATTAACATTAGAAGGAGGTAATGCCAGTTATAATCTCTAACAAAAACTATGTTAAAGCAATTTGGCTCATGATAAAATCTATATATTCATAAATATAAATATATGGGCTCTACATTTAGAAAACAAAGCTGATTATATAATGTTGAAATATGGAAGACCCTAAGGACAAACTTCAAGCAATTTTATACCGGAGAGAGAAGGAAGAAAGGAAAAAAGACTTGCTCAATAAATTTGAAGGCCTGCAGGATCCCTGACAATGGCTTCAGGTCAGGTAGCAAAGACCAAGTATGACCAAAGTTATACTTCTGAAAAGAATATTTCTTGGAATTTTTAAAAAGGCAATAAATTACAGCTAAAAGAAAACTAATTTTAACTAACCCTTGCTACATTTTATAGAAAATACATGCGAACAAATTTCATACCTAAATGTCAAGGCATTCTGTTCTGCGTGTACAATGTATCTGAATTTCCTTATTTCTCTGTCTTTCTGTTTGTCATCCATGTGCGGGAAGTCAGCATACTCAGATCCAACAGGAAAAGCATTATAACCACATCCTATGAAGTACATTGCTCCTGTTCCATCACAACTTCTCTATGAAAAGCAAACCAACAAAGCTGTTTTCAACATTCTGAAAGGCATCTTACACTGTATCTTTAAAGCCTAGTATCATACCTCTTATAATGAATTCACTTTTCCATGATAAACTGAGCCATCAGAAAAATACAATATTGGATTTTCCTGCCACAGTGTGGTCTTGTCAAAGTTAAATTTCAAGCAGCCTGATCATCTCTAGTATATAATCTCAAGGCAGTCCTTTGTTTTAGCAGTTAATTAAATACTAGCTTAATTCACAAACTGTTTCACTTGATTCAGACACCTCTCCCTGAATAGGTTATAAGATCCTAGAGAACAGAAACCATGTTTTATACCTCCTTTCTACCCCTTAAAGTAGACCTATTACAGTGTTCCATACACAGCAGGTACTCAATAAATTATTGTTAATTTCTTAATATGCTCTGTGCTGTGCTACTGGTTAGCAAGTCAGAAATCCTAAAAATATTTTGAACAATTTCTGTTTTGGGCTAAAAATGTGCTAGTGTATATAGTTGGAAAATAAATAATGCACTTTCCTTTAATTTTCATGTTTACTGAGCCTCTACTGTGTGTGTGTGTGTGTGTGTGTGTGTGTGTGTGTGTGTGTATGTAATAGAACTTCCTACTTAAGTGTTTTTTTTATTTCTCCTGGTCAGTGGCATATTAGGTGTCAATATGAATGTTTTATCAACTATAAAAGTAAAATATTTTATAAATCAGAACTGTTTATAATAGTTTGGAATATGCCATAAACCTCACTAAATTTCAATATATTATACATAGTTACTCATGTGATAGTTTCAATAGACTCAGTACTATAGCAGCTTGATAAAAATCATTATTATGATGAGCCGACAGAAGCTTACAAATAAAATATTATCTCATTAATAATAAATTATCCTTGAGCATTCATTAGAGGTTAAACATCATGCTCACTTTTATATGTGTTATTTCATTTAATTAATCCTCACAACATCCTAGACAGTAGTACTATTACTATTCCCATTGTATAGATAAGGAAACTGAGGCCAAAAGAGATTAAATAACTTGTCCAAAGTCACAAAGCTGGTAAGCAACATAGCCAGAATTCAAGGATGGGTTGCTTGACTCCAAACACATGTCCTTCTACTTTACCATGCTGCCTACACTCTAAATAATATAACTAGAAACCTAAATTCTCCAAAAAGTAGTTGAGAACCAGGTGTTAAGCCAAAAGGCTGCTAAGCATTTATATAAATCCAAGGGAGAGTTCCAACCATAGGCCACGCCCTGTGCTAGGTTCTGGGAATACACTGGTAAATGTGACAGAGAATCCCAGCCCTCATGAACCTTCTGATCTGGAGACGATAAGAAACTGGACATGTAAATTTAACTGTGATGAGCGTCATCACTGAGTTGTACAGAATACTATGGGAGTTTCTGGCAGAGGAACCTATTCTAATAGGTGCTAACAATTTGGGAAGAAATAAGAGTCAAGAGATAGTCTGAAGGTGGAATTCACAGCATTTGGTGATTGATTGTTTGAGTGGAATGGGGAATGGGATGGTGACCACTAGTGAAGGAATAGGTTAGCCGGGAAGATACTGAATGTATTGGCTAGGTTGAACTTGAGGGGCTCATGACATATCCAGCCAAATAGTAAAATTACTTGCTATAAAGTCTGTTGAAGGACACTTAGGCCCCCCTACTCATCTTTTAGTCATCCTCATAGTTACGAAGTATCTCTTGGTTCCACGCCCTCCCAACCCATCCACAGAATTCCAAGTCCTCATCATCTCTTTTTATTAACCTCCCTAATTCCTGTCTAGCCCCACTTCATTTTTTACATGCAAATCGAATCAAATCATTTTCCCACTTAAAATATTCTTGGATTGCTCTGTCCAGTATAGTAGCCAGTAGCCCCATGTGGTCAGTGCAAACTGAGAGGTGCTATAAGTATAAAATACATACAGGATTGTGAAGACTCAATACTCCCCCCAAATGCAAAATATTTTATTAAAAACATTAACCAATATTTTTATATTGGTTACATGTTGAAATGATAATATTTCTGGACAGATGATTAAGTAAAAAAAAAAAATATATATATATATATATATATATATACATATATATATATATATTTTTTTTTTGGCCGCGCTGTGCGGCATGTGGGACCTTAGTTCCCCAACCGGGGATCGAACCCATGCCCCCGCAGTGGAAGCGTGGTGTCTTCACCACTGGACCGCCAGGGAAGTCCCAAGTAAAATATATTCTTAAAATTAATTCACCTGTTTCTTTTTATTTTTTTAATGTGGCTCCTAAAAAAATTTAAATCACGTATGTGGCTTGCCTTTTATTTCTGTTGGTTAGCACTGTGCTAGCGTATCCCACTGTCTGATGGATAAAGTCTAAACTCTCTATGTGGTATATACAGAGTTCTTTATGGTGCAGCCCAATTTTTTGCTACTCTGCTAGACACAGGACCCTGGACTTCAACGTGCCAAATCACTTGCATTTCCCCACATTCTCACGCCCTATCTCTGCATGTTACCCTTCTAGTCCCACTAACTTGCTCTGCCTGATGAACTCCTACTCATTCTTCAAGACTATTAGTGCCTGACCTCCCCTAATAGTATTTTACTCATTTCTCCAAGCGGAGTAAAGGTGCCTCCTCTGTGCTCTCACGGTATCAGGTTATAATTACAGTTATATACTAGTCTCTTTTTCACCTCTGTCTCCATCACTAGACTATATAAGGCTATGAAGGGTGGACTTTGTGATCCTTAACTCCCCATTGTTCACTGTGGCACAGAGCCTACCCTGTGGAAGGTGTTTAATAAATGTTCACTAAATGAATAAATCTATATAAAAAACTGTTGAGAGAATATGCAAATGTTTATAAACCTTAATGAATACACCAATAAGAAATATTAATCCCCAGGGGTCAATAAAATGTCATGTACTTAAGATCGAAGTATGTTTAAACAAAATCAAGTTTAAATGTTTATAAAGAATTATTTTCATACTTACAGATTTTCCTTCTGCCCAGATGACTGCTCCAACTCCTGTTTTATGATCCTCTGAAAGATACATGGTGTGTAACTCAGTAAAAATCAATGATTTGTTAGTTTCAGAAATACATTTTTTCCAAAAATAATAAACATTTATTCAAATATACTTCATAAATGTAGCAGCAATCCTTGACAACCTCACTAGTTACAGAAAAAGTATGAAAATAAATATTGTCAAGCATAGACTATATGGGATCTAGGTACGAACTAACTATAGACAGTGTTACTACCAACCCAATCTCACATGATCTATGTGTAGAGACAACACAGTGGCAGTGCCCGCACTCAGATGACTTCAAAGCTGTAACCAGAACTGAGTGTAACTTTATTGAATTTCCACCAACAAGTCAGTTTTTAAATGACTATTTCTAATAAACGATGAAATCAATTAAGAAAGAAGTTTCTGAACTAATAGATTTAGTGTAATAACCATTCACAACAATCAAATCTGTCTTCTCCTAGCATTTTTTGCACTCTAATCATGGAAAATACATTTCATGAAAGTGTTCTTGCTATGAAAAAAGTTCAAACTCATAATACAAACATAAACAAATCTTTATGGGCTTTCATATATATATATATATATATATATACACACACACACACACACATATATATACACACACACACACACACACACACACACACACACACACATTTTTTTTTGCTGGAAGGTACATGAAAGGAATTTTGATTTAAATAAAATGATGTCCTTTCCCTGACCTTCACAGTTTACCTTGAGGGGAAAAGAATGCCAAGTTAGTGACATGCCCATTTCTAAATCAAGTGGCAGAAGTCACAAATATAACATTATAATTTCCCTGCAGAACCAACTTATTTGCTTTGCAACAAGAAAGGCTGTATTTCTTAAAACTATTAACCTTAAACAGAAAATACAAAACCAAAATAGAAATTCTAAATATTAAGAACTGACTTTTTCTTTCTACTACTACTAAGGGTGAGTTAAAATTTTCTAAGACAATTATACACAAATTATAAAAACCATAGTATTTATCAAAATCTTAATAAGAGACCAATATAGTTAAGTAGGTACATTTACACAGAGAAAGTGAAAATTATCTGTGAACTTGCCCTCAGGCATTTTCATATTGATGAGGATTAAACGAAACTGTGGCTTCACCCCACAATTTCCTAAAGGTTAATCCTTCCAATAATAACATATTTAAATACTTTTCTAGTAAAAGTACAAAGAAACATTATTCTACCTATGCATGAAAAACTAGGATGCCTGATAAAGTTAATTTTTTAAGAAAGTTATGATACTATAATGAAATTCCCCATCTTCAGGTCAAGCAAGCTTGGGTTTTCAAAATTATACCACAAAGCATTTTTATAATTTATTTTAAGCACTTGTTATCCCTTATCTCATTTTTATCCTAAAGGTAAAGCAGACAAAATTTCCTTTTCTAGATGAGAAAACAGGCAAAGAAATTAAGTGACTAAAATTTAGCCCTCCACACCCAACCGGCTTGCCTCCCTCCGATGTGAAGAATTTTGTAACAAAGGTTCCCCTTTACTGAATACCTGAGTGCCTATACTCACGAAGCTTATGGTCCGATGGAGAAGGAAGATGGTAACAAGGAAACATCTAAGAACCTAGGTGCTGTGCTGGGCTATGAAGGAAAGGAGTAGGATGCTGAGGAACAGTGTATGGGAGAAACATACTTTATAGACTGGAGACTGTCAGGAAAGGAATTTGGGGGTAAAAGTTTTGTTCCTTCCAAGATTGTCAGAATAGAACATGAAAGGAAAAGAATATAATTATGGCTTTATGCTCCTTTCTAAGGTAAGCAGTATAGAAGTTAAAAACCTAAGATTATATTTCGTTTATATTATAAATGAAAACCTTTAAGTAAAATTGTACTTAATACATGTATAAATCTGAAACAGAAAATGAAAAACTCAAATAGAAACTCTTCATATCAAGAGTCTACTTTTCCTACCATGGACACTAAGTATTTTTCATATTATTATTTTTTAGTCCAGGAGCCACTTTTTCTGTTTCAGTCTAGGGACAGCCTAAATCTTGTCAGGAGGAAAAAAAATGTGATTTTTTAAACTAAGCTCAGGGACTTCCTTGGTGGCACAGTGGTTAAGAATCTACCTGCCAATGCAGGGGATAGGGGTTCGAGCCCTGGTCTGGGAAGATCCCACATGGCGCAGAGCAACTAAACCCATGCGCCACAACTACTGAAGCCCATGTACCTAGAGCCCGTGCTCTGCAACAAGAGAAGCCACCGCCATGAGAAGCCCGCACACCGCAACGAAGAGTAACCCCACTCACCACAACTGGAGAAAGCCTGCACGCAGCAACAAAGACCCAACGAGGCCAAAAATAGAGCTCTACTGCTTAGCTAAGGTTAGTTTCACCAAGAAAATATTCTTTACTACATGTCTTTTGAAATCAGAATAAAATTTCATCCATATACAATGAGTAGATTTCACCCAGCCCCCAAGGTTAGATGACAGATGAGGTGTAATTTCTCAAAAATCTTTTCACATCAGTAATTTTTATGTAAAGTTTCTCAAAAAACTTTCACGTCTGTAAATTGCTCCCCAGGATCTGGTCATTCACAGGATTTTCTCTGTATACCCTTGAAGGAAAGGTCAACTTAAAATCACTGAGCCAAATTCCTGAGACTCTTTGGTCACTGAAAGTCACAGGACTCTTTATCCTATGGTTCAGGAACACAGGCATGGTTACTTTAGCTCCCAATACTGTGGTCATGTCAGGGTTTGTCCAAGTGTGATTCACAAACCAACTGCATCAGAATGACTGGACGCTTGTTACAAAGGCAGACTCCTGGCTCCCATGGAAATTCCATGAATCAACCTCTCCAAGGGAGGCGGCAGACTCAGGAATCTGTACTTCTCATGAGCATCACCTCTGATTCGTAGGCAACTAAAAGTTGAGAACCGCTGAGTTATGATTTGAAACAGTTAACTTTCTTGGCTACTCCAACCTACTTTCATCATCAGCGTTGTGGTTCAGAAGGAAGGCATAATCGTCAGCTTTGGAAAACGCCTAGTCTAATGGGAAACAGGACATAAAAAGAAATCAAAACTCACACTTAAACCAGGTAGGTAAGATGTGATGCCCTCCTATCTCTGTTTTTTTCCCCTAGAGTCTAAACAAATTTTGTCACTTTTTTGCTACCCTCAAAGTAGCTTAGAAACATACTTTTAATGACATCTCTGTGGATCCTATTTACTCATCATTCAAAAATCAATTATTAATTACGTACTTTCAATTAGTTTTAGAACTCTGTTAGAAGTTTTGGCATTCTTTATAATCATATGTATATTTTAAAATGAAATGGTTTAACGGAATGATTTCTTCACCTATTAGAGTGAAATAAAGTTATGTGAGCTGAACAGCGTAAAATTTGAGTAAAGTTTGAGTTATTAGAAACACGCTAAGTCAAGGGGATATCTACCTTGCTGGATTGTCCTCAATGTTAAGTGAGGTACATATATAAATCACCTAGCTCTGTGCCTGACACATAGTAGGTGCTCAATAAATTTTTTATCATTATCATCAATGAGGCGTATCAGTCCAGAATTCCTTATCTGCAATCCCTTATATCAAGTTTTTTTTTTTTTTTTTTTTTTTTTTTTTGCGGTACACAGGCCTCTCACTGTTGTGGCCTCTCCCGTTGCGGAGCACAGGCTCCGGACGCGCAGGCTCAGCGGCCATGGCTCACAGGCCCAGCCGCTCCGCGGCATGTGGGATCTTCCCGGACCAGGGCACGAACCTGTGTCCCCTGCATCGGCAGGCGGACTCAACCACTGCGCCACCAGGGCAGCCCTTATATCAAGTTTTTTAAAACAGCTTGACACACATACATATACATATTATTTTTCTAAAATCTGAAAAATTCTGAATTCCTTTTCATCTGGCTTCAAGAGCTTTGGGTAGGGGACTGTGGACCATTTATCTTTGTATATAAAAATATTTCTTTTGTGCTAAGGAAAAAACAATGATGAGGACATGGTCTCTGTGGAAAGGAGCACATGACAAAGAGTCGCATTCTATTCAGGATTTGGTTTCCAGGCAAGAAAGTCATACATAGACAAAAAATTAACCTTGAAAAACCTTTTAAATCGCCCATCAAGTGCATAAGTACAAAACTCTGCACAGTAACAGCAGATAAATTTACAATACTATAACTATACTAGTAGAGTATCTAATAAAGAATATATATGCAAATTTATATCTATACATTACTGCATCTTTAAACAGTGGAGCCATACATGGTATTTTTAGGTATTAGGAAAGGAGCTCCTGAGATTAAGTAAAAAAACAGACTCACACCTCCCGTCTTACGCTCACTCTGGAATCTGCTGAATTCTAATTAGCAAATGAGAATTAGTGAAGTATAGCTGTAACAGCTGTTTCCATTTATGTTTCCGTCCTTCCAGAATGGTCGGGAGAAAAATTCTTTATAAAGCTGGAGTTGGCAGAGACTAACATAGAGCCCACAATACAAGATAATTACATTAAGTCAGACCTTTACAGAATACCGTTGTTTGGCATCATGTAGTTTGTGCCTATAGTAGAATCAAATTCTTTAATAAGAATCAAGTGATTATTAACCCTGCTGAATGTTGGAGTCCCTTACAGAAATTTAAAAATTCACAGGCCTAGGACATACCCTTAGGGACCAGGTTTAGTAGGTCTGGGTTAGAATTTGAGCATTCTTACTTTTAATAAAAGTTTCTAGGGTGATTCTAACATGCTGCCATTTGAAAACCTCCATTTTACTGAAATTACTTCAACCTGTGGTCTTCGTTGAGCATATACTGCAGACCAGTGGCATTTGTATGGACTTTTTCTGAAGATTTTCTCTCTTCTCCTTCTTTCTTGGGATAAGTTTTAAAATTCCTACTATAGCCTACTCACCAAATCCTACTCTACTGTTCCTCCTGCCTGCATTTTCTTTTCCTTATTTCAAAGTTGCATTTTAAAAAGTGATCATGTGGGGAGGGGGAAGGGTAAGCTGTGACAAAGCGAGAGAGAGGCACAGACATATATACACTACCAAACGTAAGGTAGATAGCTAGTGGGAAGCAGCCGCATAGCACAAGGAGATCAGCTCAGCTCGGTGCTTTGTGACCGCCTGGAGGGGTGGGATAGGGAGGGTGGGAGGGAGGGAGACGCAAGAGGGAAGAGATATGGGAACATATGTATATGTATAACTGATTCACTTTGTTATAAAGCAGAAACTAACACACCATTGTAAAGCAATTATACTCCAATAAAGATGTAAAAAAGAAAAGTGATCATGATTCTACTTTGAAAAATGTTATGTCTGCTGAGATGTAAAAACACTGTTCTATAATTGGAAATACAGATACCACCTTTTATCATGATAGAGAAAATTCCCAAGTAATATTTTCCTTTTTCACATACTTACTCAGGTACAACTTAATATAATAAAGTAAAAATGTTTGATTTCTCCACTTGCTGATTGAAGACATACCATTAATTGGAAGAATATGAAAAAATTCTCCTTTACTTTGATTCTATTTGTTATTTTGAATTCATATTTTTAAAGATTTTTTAAGTTTTTACTAAATACTGAATACCTACAGAATATTGAAGAGTTAAGAAAAAAATGAATAATTCTGGTTCTCTCTCCCCTCTCTTTTTGTCCTATCTCTAGTGGAGGGCTCATTCAACTGTGAAATGATAAAAGCAAGAAGCAGAAAGGGCCTAATCAGATCCTGATTTATAAATGTAGCACCCGATATAGGCCACAAGAAATCCTAAAACTACTCTAAGAGTTATCTACTCAAGGGTCTCACTAACTTCTCTTTATTTGTATGACCAACAAAACCTTAGTATCTAAGAGTCATAAACGCTACCATAGATGAAATGAATACCACTTTACTTCTGAGACAAATACAACCCAAGCAGCCCCGATTTATGAATTAAGCGTATAACTCACCAGTTCGATATGCCAATAACCTGGCCTGAACCATGCAGTGCCTTGCAATTTCTTGCGGCAAACTCTGATTGTGAATTTCATTAATCTGTTCGGTATTGCTACAATAAAATCCGTAGTGTTTAAAGTTGGGCACACTGGAAGCTACTGTGGCCAAAAGTAGGATAAGGTCTTTCATGTTTTGTCTTAGATTGCTAAAGTACGGATTTTCACACAGGTTCTCCAAACCTATAGTCATCAGTATTTGCTTATGCATTTCTTCTCCGGAAACCAAAAATATCATTTCATATTCTTTTATTCTTTCTTGTTTACATTCAGAATAAAAGTCAGTGGTAGTGTCCAGCAATGTTTTTGAAATTTTTTGAATAAAGTCACATTTGTAAGAGGTCTCCTCTACAAACTGCACCATATAACACACCAAAGGCTGAAGTAAGACACACACATGGGCCCGACTGTTTGACTTCAATCTTTCCACTGCTTTGGCATCTAACTTTGCATCTTCAGAACTAGAAGCCTCAGTAAGCAAGCTTATTTCTGGATCAGCAGGCCAATATGAAATTCGGTTAACTCCAGCTGAAATACAAAATTTGAAAGGTAGTTATCAGATGCATGCTGAAATTAAGGGTTTTCTTGATAAATCCACCATATCACTGCAGTAGGTCCAAAGGTCCCAATATAATAAAAGTCTATTGCCAAGTCACCAATAATATAGCCCAAGTGCTGGCAAACTACGGCCACAGGCCAAATCTGTCCTGTTGCCTATTTTTATACAGCTTGCAGGTCAACAATGGATTTCGCAGTTTTAAATAGTTGGAAAATCAAAAGAAAACTATTTTGTGACATGAAAATCATATAAAACCCAAATTTCAGTGCCTATAAAGATTTGTGGAAACACAGACAAACCTAATCTTTGACATTGTCTCTGGCTGTTTCTGTACTACAATGGAGTAGCTGAGTTGAGAGGTGAATAGCTGTATGGATACCCTATGGCTTGCAAAGCCTAAAACACTTACTATCTGGCCCTTTATAGGAAAAGTTTGCCGACAACAAAACCCATGAAAGGTATCTGTGGAATCACTACCTTTGCTAAGTGTGGTCCCAAAGCCCAGAGATAGGACTATATACCAGAGTCCTCCAAGTAAATAAATGGCGGCTTTTAGAAATACCATAACATAACTGATACTGGCTAGAGTTTTGTACCTGAAACAAACAATTCATCCACACATGAAAAATGTACCTGTACTCTAAACTCTTCCTCTGGGAAGCTCTTCTAAGAAAATATTTGAAATAAAGACAAAAGAAAATTCATGCATGCATATGTTTAGTGCAGCATTGTTTAAAACAGTAAAAACATAGAAGAAATCTAAATGGCCAAAATAGAGGAATGGTTTAACACATTACAGTCTTCCTCATAATAAAATATGCAGTTATCCAAAACGTCCACAAAGAATTTGTAATGTGAGGGCAGCAGGGAAGCGGGGGAGAGGAAGCAATATTAATTGTTTTTAAGTCCACAAAATTGAAGACAAAACAACAAACTAGAAGGAACATTTTTCAATAAATGTAACAGAGAAAAGGTTAGTAATCTTTGATATACAGAGATTTTAATCCACTAAGAGCACATATGAATTGACAAGAATAAAGCCTCCAAGAGAGACAAAATATATGAACAATTTACAAAAGAGAAAACAAAACTGGGTAACAAATATGAAAAAGGTTTTTAATTTGTGTTTGAGAATGAACGATGAGATGCCTTATACAAAACTAAGCACATAAATGTTTATCAATTAGTTACTATTTTACAACAAAGAAACCCCTTTGCTAGTGTCTCATGTAACTTCTGCTAGGAGAGGCATTTATGTTTTTGATAATTGTGCCCAGAAGTGAACAGGCAGATGGCCCACACGTTTTCTTCATTCAAAGATATAGATGAACTAAAAAATTCAAGTTAAACAAACACACATTTCTATCTACTCCCTGCTACTACTGACCCTTACTGTGCCTTGGGCTGTAAAGTAATCTTGAAGGCCTCAAAGCTATCAGAATGTTTCCTCTGGCTGTTTCTTTTTCCCTCTGTTGGAGTTCTCATAATTCATTTCCTAACCAGCAGTAATGATCAACCTTTCATCTAAGCATTCTGGTTGCTTCTAGTAATCTTTTTTTTTTTTTTTTTTTTTTT